AGAAGTCAGCTAACCAGGAACAGGCTGCTCGAGAGGCTTTTTGAAATGAGATATATATAGCCATCCACTTTGGACGTTGATGTTAAATCTGCCCTCCGAATCTGCTAAACGATTCCGCGAACAAACTTATGGGCGTTTGTTGAGCTGACAAATGCTCAACAACAATGTAGATATGTTAGCAAACTTGAAAATGCGTTACATAGCCTAGTGGGTAGGCAACCATCCACATGTCTGCAAGCTCAAGAGTTCGAATCCTCGGCAAGCTCATCATTTTGCTTCTATTGAAAATGTTTGTAAGGCGTTCTGAAAGCACTTGTGCGGGCCTAGGGAACTTAATTTTAACGAAAATGACTCTGGCATTCAGTCATCAGAACAACTGTAGTTTCAGGTTTTAGCTAATTTGGGGGTTTTTTGTGGGCCTTCACATATATAGGTGCTGATCATGGGTGTGATGAGTTCAAAAAAGCCGGGACGAGCAAGAGAATCATTATATGCCGCGCCGTCGCGCGCGGCGCACCTGCGAAGAGCGCGGGAAATTTTTAACCTGGGCGTCACGCGGCGATGGACGCGGGGAAACCAATGTCAGTTTGTCGATTAACAGCAAAACTCGAAGGATTCGCTGTCTATCAGACGTATTTCACATGAATAAATTGTAAAAAAAGTCGTGGGACTGTCGCCAAACTAGCAGTAAAGCACGTACAATAACAGCATTGTTGGAAATATAGAAGCATGAAGAACCTCAGCCAGAACCGCTCACGGCTGGCGCGCTCCGTAACACCTTTTCTCGTCCCTCTGATATTTAAATTCAAATGGCTGGGCGAACTGGAGAACTCGTCTCTCGCGTCGCAACGCCAGCCAGCGCGGCAAATTACGGTTCTCTCGTCGTATACCCAAAAAACCTGCGTAATTTTGTTCCAAGAATCGTTTAGTCGATTTAGAGGGCAGATTTGTGACCAGCTTAGGAAGGCGCGTCAGATGGTATACATTTCATGACACGGCCACTTCGACATATTGTGGGAACTGAGACGGATAAAAATAGTCGTCTACTGAGCTTTACAAGCAACATTCTATCATCAGACACAGGGCACATCGTTGTTGGAGAATCCCCAACAGAGGGGTCGTATTTGGCCGCCAGGAGAAGGGGGGAGGGGGTCGTATTTGGGCTGAGGAAAATTTTTTTGATAGTTGATTTCTCTCGCTTCACGGACCTTGTAACAGGGGTGAGGGCCGTACTTGCTCATTGTTGGGAGGGGGCGTCGTATTTACTTTTTGGCCTTCTAGGAGTGGTGGTTGACTATCGTGATTTTCCTGTTTCATGTATAGTATATACCTCCCCCCGCCCTGCTAGTAGGGAAGTTCTGAGGAAATCACGGGAAAAAAGGAATTTGGGGAAAACCGTGAAACTTAGGTAGGGTGGAGGGAGGTCGTATGTCTAGGCGGCTTTTTCTGTTTAACCGGTGCTTATTCACCTGACCCCCCAACGCTCCTCCCCCCCGCCCCCCTCGACGCTGCGAAATTCGACTGAGGAGGGGACAGAGTCAGGCCGGCCCGCCCCAAAAAAAAGGGGGGGGGGAGAGTCGTATGGACTTAAAATCCCCAACCAATGATGTGCCCTGAATCAGACAACTAATTATAGCAATTACAGCTCAATTATAGTCACAAAGAGAAAACACTGGCATAGTTGAATCAGACAAAAACGACTGCAGCATGAAGGCTATAATGGAAAACATCTGTTCGATGAATGTGGTTCAACAAATCAAAAGTCAAACATTCTCTCTTACACTTATAATTATAGGCAATAGCTCTTCACACCCGACGACTTTCCTGACTGCAAGTAATTAACCTCCAGAATCATTTAACTTGAAGTGACCATTAATCAATCAGCATGCCTGTGTATCCTTGCGCGATGACGGTAGTAAATTCAATGGAATTCTCGAGAAATTGTCGTCGACCCACATTCTCGTGCGTTGTGTGTTTGAAAAATAACCCGGCTAACCAATTTTTCAGACTAGCAGAAGAATTCGTACCCTTGAAGGCTGCTTCATTTCACATATTTTGACTGAGGCAATCCGATGGGGACTGCCTGGCGTTAAACGTCATACTTTACTTGTTTGTAAATATATCTCTACTACATGTTTTACAACAGGTATGATCAACAAATTTTGTTCGAATGAACTAACAAACATCAGCGGAGCAATAATTTCAAGCACCTTTCAGACGAAATGTTCATTCAAGCGCCCATTGTAAGGTAAGCGAAAACAGGTTTTTTTTCGAACTCGTTAATAAGTACGGGGCTGGAACAATCGTGGGCAGCTTAAAACAGCAAGCACGCTCACCACCCGTGGCGCTGCACTATTCTCACGGAACGGCCGATGAATCTTGGGTATCTTTCTCTGAGTAGTAGCAGGGGTGCTAACACGAGTGAGCGGGAATACGCAAAAAGGCGAAGTCACGGTCCAAAAAATCCGCGAAAAAGCCTCTGTTCTACACGGCATTGGACGAGCATTTCTGGACGAGTTTCCTGTTGGCATTGTGCCAGCAAACGCTTTGATAGGTATGGCTGACGTCGCGCATTCAACATAGCCCAGTGGTGAAGGCAACACTTCATATCGATTGTACTTCATGAATGAAGCGGTAGAAGTCCCAGCACTGATGTAAGTGTGCGGCATTTGTGGGTGGGAGGGGTACATCGCTGTTGGGGATTCCCAACAGGGGAGGGGGGAGAACGTATTTGCTCGTTGTTCGTTGGGAGAGGGAGTCGTTTTCTTTTCCCAGGCTTCTGAGACAGCTTGCTGACTTTTCGTGGTTTTTGCTGTTTCATGTGTACTATATACCCCACCGACCCCCCCCCGCGGCTACCTCCCCCCACTCGACAGCAAAATTCTTGGGGAAAAACTAAAAAAAGTTTCGGAAAATTGTGGAAGAAGTGGTAGGAAGTTAGAGAAAATCTGAGGATGGTAGAGACAGAGCATCGTATATTTTCCCCGCGGTTTTCCCATTCACACGTGCTATTTATCCCCCCCCCCGCTCGACAGCTCAATGAGGAGAGAACCAGGGGGCGTACCAACCCCCTAAAACAAGGAGGGGGGGGTCGCATGTTGCACCTTGGTCAGGCGCTATACCCTCGATTGGAATAGTTGCCACAACAGGGGCACAATATTCTTTCGTGCTGGACATGGTGACACTGTTCGTCTTGTCGATTTATCGTGCCACTCGCCTTTAAAAGCCACTGTTATCGTCTTGGCATCGCTCACTGTGTCTTTAAGTCCGTAAAGGTTTACTATTATGGGAGAAAATTGTGCACATATTCGAATGCTTCTACAACCAAAGATCAGCACTGCTCCCCTCAATTGATGCTATACAGAACTACTGATTAGCTGCAGACGGGCTTGCTAGATAGATTCATACCTGAAAGAGAAAAACAAAGAAAGATAAAAAAAAAAATAAAAGCAATCCCACCACCAACCGACGACTCCCAGAACTACTGATTAGCTGCAGACGGGCTGCTAGATAGATTCTTACCTGAAGGAGATTAGTCGCTTGAATCTTCACAATGAGTTCGAAGTACAGAAACCAGTAAAAGCAAAGAACTGTCGTTCTTTTCGGACAATGCTTATGATAAGATCTCTATTAACAGGAATCTTTTTCTGCGAGCACATGAGCTCAGGACAATTCATTCAAAGCCGAAGGCAGCTTACAGGGACGACCAGCGGGGTCCAGTTTTCTGCCTAGCAGAGAAAGTCTACCAGTAATGGACACTAATGTTTCCTGTTATACGCCTCATTCACGGCAATGCTACCTCTCTAGGAATCCCTTTCGCAAGCCCACAAGTTGGCGGTTCACTGCGCGAAGCTCTGGGTGTCCTGTAGCACGTGTAGCACGTTCGCCTAGCCAAATGCTGGTACGCGCTCCTTCTTCTGCACTTTTACAGAATCATTAACCGGTATTTATTTGAATAATACTTGTAAAAACTCTTGAATACAAAAATCTGAGCCGTGACGTCATCGTAGATCATGACTGGGGTGCGATTTGCTGAGCAGCTTCTGCCCTTTGCTTAGCAGCTTCTTCCCTTTCCAACTGTGCATACATCCTTCTCAACTTCTGATTACGTTCACACTCCTGAACCATAATGAACTAAATAATTAAAAGTTTCCAATTCTAGCATGAACTATTTTTGAAAATAACTTTCTCCATCACGAGTTTTCTTTTTACAATAAAAAGAAATACATAGATTACAACTAGAAATATGAATGATGGCAGAGACAGTACATATCAAATGGCGGCCCTATCACGTGCATGCTCCATGGATCAGATCCCGGACCAGCTTCTCATCAGGCTAACCAAGCCGTCCATCCCTTCGGGGTCGGTTAAATGCTAATAGAAAACGGTACAACAATATTGACTGTGAGATCGGTATCAGTACAACCTCACCACCTCAACGTTTCCTCCTCTTATACTACTCCACTGTCTCCATCCTACCTACCATTGTCCCTGATTCCCTGAACTCCTTATCAAATTTCCAGAGAATAAAAAATTTGGCTTCCGCAAAAAAAATCAGGGAGATAAAAGGGGACGGTGTGTTCGCCATCTGACTACTAAGTTCAATTATCAGTCAATTATTACTAATTCAATTATTTCCTAGCGTTGGGGAACGTTTGCAAAATACGACCCCTCTCGCGAGTTTTCTTGTGCGGTACGACCCTTCCTCATCCTACCTACTATCCATCTTCCTGAATTTTCCCAACATTCCACCTTTTTTCAGCTTTTCCTTAGCTTCGTTTTCAAATATCCTGCGTTTCTGCTCCGAGTACTGCCGTCGAGCGGGAAAAGGTGGAACGGGGGGGGGGGGAAGAAAGGGGTCTATGTAGCGCACCGACACAGGAAAAACCGAGAAAAGTCAACAACGGAAAACATTTCTCCCGGAACGAATACTTCCCTCCCTCCCTCAGGGACCGGGTACGACTCTCCTCCTCTTTGGATCCCCAACGCAGGACGTGCCCTGACTATCAGAAAGTAGCTCTAAAATACCTCTGCAACAACGCCAAACCAGGGAAATGTATAGCGTGAAACGAGAAAATTTTGTTGAAGTCAACAGCCGGGAAGAATCTCGTGGCGGCTCTTAAAATTTTCGAGGCCACAAGCGACCCATATCGACCATATACACCCTCTCCCAAGTGCGATAGTACTGATGGAATTCTCCCCACGATGTTGCACCCTGTAACAGATGTTCGGGAGGAACAAGCGGGAGGATTCGTATGTTGGCTCCCGCAACATGTTAATAGGGGGCCGCTGGGATGAGTCAGATGTTGTATTGTAAAGGAAGAGAAGTAGTTTCGGCGTTGATCAGTCCCTTCTTTGGGATGCCCCACGCATTCTTCTTCTTTTCTCTCTTTTCACCTAGTGCAGATAGGCCACCATGGTGGGCGGGAGAAAAAATGTGTGCCTATCTTATCTTGAAAAAGGTACTTATTAACGTCGAAAGCTCCTTAATTCATGGTTTTTAAAATGTTTCTCTGGGTCGATGTCTAATCCGTGGACACAACAGTCTGTTATTATGCAGCTTTCCCAGCAGTTAATGATATCTTTGCTCTTCAGTTGGGGAAAAACGACAATAATTCCAAGTGAATCATATGCCAAGTGACTATCAACTCAAACCAACAATTTGGCGATGAAAAATCGAATATTCTCCTCCCCTAATTCTGTGATGGGAATCAGGGAACAGAAATCCGGGCTGTGGCTTAGGGGAGGGGGGGGGGGGGTGGTGCCTATGAACAAGGC